AAGAGTTGTTCTTAATTAGCCTAAATGTTTTTTTCTTAATTACAAGTACGGAGTGGAGATTTACCACAAACTTTAAAACTAAATCCTGATGGGGAAACAGTTCGACACAAAATCTCAAAGAGAGAAACACAAACAACATATCAACAACTCGACATAATTGACAGCTGCATCCATTTGCTCGGTCCAAGCCCCCTCCTCCTCCTGCTTTTCCACTCTGTTCTTCCAACACCATTTCCTCTTTTAATTATCCCCCAGCAAAAAGATGGAGAACATCAGACGCATCGCGGTAAATCCTGGCCCTGGCACAGGCTCATAGTGGCTCCTGCGTCTGGCAATCCCGATAGAGCCTGTGCGCTGGCAGTGACAAGAGAGGGAGGATGCCTGGAGATTTTCTGACGGAAAGAATGGAGAGGATCATCTCTCAGCAAAAGAGAGGTCCTCATTCTACTCCCGGCGTGGGAGGCTTTTTTGGCGAGCGCTTTCCGATCATACCACATTTTCAGCACCAGATTAGCCAGTTCTCAGGAGCAAAACTCACATAGACCCCCTTGTTTACCCCTCAGTACCACCGTGCTTTTGTAATGACTGTTCATTTAAAGAGCACATTGGAAGCACTGCAAGCACGCCTGCTCTCCTATCTCTGCCTACAACATTTAAGGGGTGAGACTTATTGCATATAGCAGGGTCACAGAGACCATGGTTTGGATTATGGGGATATGATTTGTTTTGATTTGAAAGAAGTCTCCTCTGACCTGAAATGTGTTTTACTGAGTGAATTTTACATTCTAATTATCAGCCACACAAATGGGGTTTTTATTTTGGAAGCCGGGTAGATGAAATAGGTTGCAAGTTAACTAGTGCCGGGGCTGCTATCCGTCAAAGTTTCTCCCATCTCTGTGGGGTGCACATCAATCACAGAGGTCCCCAACTGACAGTCATTCTGCGGGCTAATAGTGTCGTCATCTCCCACGCGGTTACACAGATTGCACAATGAGATCTTCGGACACAATGGAGCTGCGAATGTAGCCCCCCACTCTGTTCCTTTCTCCTTTCCTTTTCTTCCATCATTCTGAGATGAAGAGTGGAATGCTCCACAGCGGGTAGCTTTCTTCTCCTCCGGGGGGAACTGAGAAAGCAGGCAAGGGCCTCTGTGATGTTACTTTCCCTTCAGGGTGGGGAGGAGATGTCTTGTAGCGCAGCTAAAGATGATCATTTGAGAGCCTGTGAAACAAGGTTCCCCTCTGGAAGCCACAGAGACGCAGAGACAGCCGAGGTCCCAGCTAATGAGTTAGGGTTAGCTGATGTTCCTCGGTGATGAAAACGAGAACATTGGAAATGACGGCAGTGGTCGTTTTTTTTGTCCGGGTTTGAACAACGTATTGCACCTCTGTTACATGAGTCTCTGAATGCAAAGGTCACAGGTCAAACTGAGCCTTTCAAGTAGATAGAGACCTACTCAAAGATGCCTCAGAAAAGTAAAAGCTTGCTACTGTATCACGCAAAGCTTAAACACCAGCAAGAGTATGATTTCCCTGTCACTCTGCTGCCCTCTTGCATCAAGACAGAGTACAAAGACTTTTCATTTAATAGAAATTATTAAATCAATTATGAATCTATGAAGGAACATATGGGGAAATATTTGCTGAGGAAACTCACAAAAACAAAACAACATCCCATCTGATAATCTGCCACAATTACGCTGCACACTGTGATGAAAGGATATCAATGAACTACTTATGTCATAGAAAAAGAGTGCAGCTTCAAACATGAAAGCTATTGAAGCCTATGAGAGTTTCAAGTCAATGAATGATCAAAGAAGCAAAAGCTTATCAACGCTGTTCCTTAACACTGAAACAGTGTCATATGGCTGTGGATACGCTACCACAGTTGCAGTGTTTTTGCCCAGGAACATAATGGCTATTGTGCTTTCTGCAAACATTTTGCCTTTTTACACAGTTGAAACTGCAAAAAGCACACAAAGTGTAGAGGGGACAGGAGCCCTTTATCCCGATGAAAGGCTAAAGGATGAGACTGACCTTTCTGGCATCAGCTGGGCTTTGGGAACACAATACATGGCGGCAACTCTTTCTGGCCTTTTCCCCTTCAGCTCTGGGCTATGCTTACAAGCCAAAGACTCAAGTCCAAACATCTATCATTTTATACAAAGACTCAAACCCACAGATGCCCCAAACCCCCCCCCCCCCCCTTTTATATTAGACAAACACACACACACACACACCGAGTAGTTCCCTCTGTACATCTGTAAACAGACCAGTCTCGTCTGGCATCATAGTACAACTGCAGGCTATGGAAGCAAAAAGAGACAACATATCACTGTAGATTACATCAACGCAACAGCTTGACTCAGTCCACAGTATCAACACCCCTTTCCTTTAACAGGAATTGAATAACAATTACATTGTGACCTGTATCCACTTAGGGAACGCACAAAACCAAACTATGTTACAATTCTCCACGCCAGCAAGATATGAAATGAAAATCCTGACATGGTTAAGTACTACAGTAGTTTAGAGAGTGCCCCCCAAAAATGACCTAACCTAGTATACAGTACACCTTTAAAAGCTTTGTTGTTGGGGGGCCACATACCTAAAGGGCCTTTGTGTGATGTTTCAAAAGGCTGCATCACAAGGTCATGGCGGAACAAGGGTCATACAAACACAGAATAGCACTTGTGTGGTATTCGGATTTTTTTGGATGGGGGGGGGGTTGTCAATTCTATAGGTAAACTCTAGCAGACAGGAGATAAGGTACGTGTGGGCGGACAGACAAAGGGAACACTAGTTGGCATCTGAAAAGGTAAAGAGTAGTAGTTCCTGACGTGTCAGAGGCCTCATAGTCAGTGGGAGAGTATAAAAGGCCCTGTAAGTGTGTCTAGGTTTATGTTACACATCCACAACTGCACAGCCATGGGAAAGGTATGAGCTCACTTGCAATACAGCAACCGTTTTGACAGAGAGAAAAATTGAAGGTTTTGGGTGTCAACTATTTTAACAGTGAAAGAAAATGCAGCAGAGGGTGAGGAGAGGTAGTCAAAAACGACTAATTCGAGTAAAGAAATTGGGTTAAAAAATGTGAACAGACTGCTAAGTTTGGTTATTTCTTAGGGGAAAAACACACTTATAACGGTTTAAAAGAGAAGCTTCTGTGGACATGAGCAATTATATGGTATCTATATAGGATAGATTTGCTGTAATTGTACAACACCACAGTTGACAGTGTTGAGATTGAAGGAGCATACAAAGAGTTCTTCAAATTAAATTCAGTTAACACATTTTTAATTGCCTTGATTTTCATCTGTCAAAGCTCTGAAAATAGACAGGAGAGGCTCTCGTGAAAAAGTAATTTAGTTTGTTTAAAGGAGAGCAGTGTCCCCTACAGTCCATTCATGAGTATTGCAACTGGTGCATTTATATACCTAACATTAACTTGTGAGTGACATATGTTTCTCTCTTTTCTAGATTATCTTCTACGAGGGCCGCAACTTCCAGGGCCGCCACTGGGAGTGCAGCAGTGACTGCATGGACACCTTCAAGCACTTCAACTGCTGCAACTCCATCCGTGTGAGCGGTGGTCACTGGGTGGCCCATGAGAAGCCTCACTACATGGGCTACCAGTACATCATTGGCCCCGGCGAGTACCCCGACTACCACAACTGGATGGGCTTCAACAACTGTGTCCGCTCCTGCCAGATGTATGCCCCTGTAAGTCAATCAAACAGACACATACACCCAACCCCCACCCCTTACCTTGCACATCAAATGCCGCTTTAGAAATGGATGTCAATCATTTGCCTTTTGATGTCATTAACAGATACTCAGGCAGGTCATACGTAGCATGAAAGTCTCTTTTGCAAGGCCCACAAGGAGACCCAGTCAGCCTTTAAAAGGAATATGATACACACCCCATAAGACTTGGAGCCTTCATTTTTAATTCTGTTAGTCACATTGAGTGTTTTGGCAGTTTGGGAAAGGAAAAAAAAATATCCCGTCATGCTCCGAAAGAGTTTTTATAATCTGCTTACTTAAACAAATAATAAAAGTCATAATTTGAAATATATCAGCTCAGGGCTGAAAGCTCTACCAAAAGGCTCTCTAGGGCTGACGCCTCCCAAACTAACGTAATAAATCTGATTTCTCCCACACACAGTATAGAGGATCCTACAAGATGAGGATCTACAACAGGCCCGACATGATGGGACACACTATGGAGTTCATGGATGACTGCCCCAACCTGTACGAGCGCTTCCGTTACCGTGACATTTTCTCCTGCAACATCATGGAGGGATTCTGGATCTTCTATGAGCACCCCAACTACAGGGGACGTCAGTATATCCTGCGCCCTGGAGACTACAGGGCCTGCGGAGACTGGGGATGCCAAAACCCCATGGTCGGCTCCTTCAGGAGGATGAGGACTGTCATGTAAACCTAACCCATGTGCAACTCAATATAAAAAAGTAATGTAAAAAAAACTACGTGCTTTGTGAGTTTTTTTTTTAAACACATGCATGCTACCATGAGTCTGAAAACAACACACTTTGGCCAAGCGGTCTTTTTGGTTTCTAAATATCCCTCTGGATCAATGAAGTATCTTTATATCTGACATCAAAGAAAGTCTGTTGCTGCTTAATTATCAATATCTCTGGTATATACCGATCATAACAAAACAAACCTTTTCTTTTTGCTGTCCGCACATACTTCACAGTCTGCATGTAGGTTTTTGGCATTCATACCAATAAAGGCAGATGTTGCAACTCTTATTGTAGCGCTGTGAGAAAGTGCAGCTGTACAGTGTTTTCCATAGAAAGAGAGCTTTGACAGAGACAAAGCGGCTGCTGCAGCGCACCAGTCCTATAGTGTTATGCACTCCACACAGCCCACTGTGCTGACACGGCAAAGCTTTGTCTCCAATTCCAAAGCCCTGATCTCAGCAGGGTCTATAAAGGCCTGGTACAGCCCACTGAAATGTACACAGCAGTTACAATGGGCAAGGTAAGCGTGCGTTTCAAAATCTATATCAAAAGCAACTTTAGAGTTTGATAGTATGTTGATCATTTGTAAATAAGGGGTTTAAAAGGTGGGAAACAATGCTGCAAAGGCAATGCTATCAGTTGTCAGTAGTTCTAAATGATTGTTTACCACACTATACCTTACTAATGGTCAGACGTAATTAGACTTAGTTAGTTATACTTAATTATACTCTGCTTTGCCTTCTGTTGATGGTAATAAAACATAGCAATTGTGTAACTGCGCTTTGAATCTCAATCGCTGTAGCAAAAAAATATGCCAAGACTTTTCTCTTCATGAAAGTATACCACATGGTACTCTGTATTTTACTAAACTTTGCCTCTGGTGCAACATTTGGGACATGTTTTCATATTCCCTTAAGAGTCAACTCCAAAATTCTTTACTTTCTGTAATTCTGTACAAGAACTTTGTTGGATAAAGCTAACTTTCAAACACCTGGGACAGAATACCAAATGATATAGATATAAAACTAAATTACACTAAAAGTCAAGTTATTATTGATTAACAGTCTGAAGAGCTGGAGGACAGATAGCTTGTCATCTATCAGATAATAATAGCAGTAGTTTGTCTTTGTTATAGCCCTATGGTGATAATGTCTACCTATATACCGCTTGCAGGTTATCTTCTACGAGGAAAAGAACTTCCAGGGTCGTCACTATGAGTGCAGTAGTGACTGTTCCGAGATGCAAAACCACTTCACCCGCTGTAACTCGATAAAAGTGGACAGCGGTTGTTGGGTGGCCTACGAGAAGCCCAACTATGGCGGCTACCAGTACATGCTGAACAAGGGCGAGTACCCCGACTACCAACGCTGGGCCGGCTTCAATGACTGCATCCGCTCCTGCCGCATGGTGCCAACTGTGAGTGATGCCTAACACTGTTTACAGCAATGTTCTCACTTAAGGTTTAGACATTTCGTTTCTATTTTTTCACTACTCTGTGCCCAGACCTGTGGCCATTTAAAAAGCCTCTCTTTTTAGCTTGACCTATAACTGCAGCAAAAAGATTTATGTCGAGAGAGAAATAACATTTAGACTGGGTCATTGGATCAGAACAACTTTAGTACAGGAACTTTATAAATGTATTTGAAATTGCCAAGTTAATCTACTGTGGTGAGTTAAAGTTTAATAAATGGTTACAGTAAATGACAGTATGATTATCTCTGTCTTAGTATAACGGCAACTACAAGATGAAGATCTTCGAGCGTTCCGACTTTGGAGGACAGAATATGGAGCTGAGCGATGACTGCCCCGATCTGAACGAGCGTTTCCACACCCGTGACATCTCCTCCGTCAACGTCATGGAGGGCTACTGGATTCTGCATGAACACCCCCACTACAGGGGACGCCAGTTCTTCCTGCGCCCTGGAGAGTACAGGAGGCACAGCGAGTGGGGAAGCAACAGCCCAACCATCGGCTCTCTGAGACGTATCACTGAGCTCAACTGATTCCCAGCTTTTTTCACCCTTACTGTGCCCCACTGTTACCATCCCACCCTCTTGTTCCCCTAATGCCAGCACTGTTTCAGTGTGGTCTCAACACTGTGCTGTCCAAACCTGAAGTCATACATTTTTATGATGGAGGGATTTGGTGCGTCTGATGTTGGGTTCTGGTTTTTCTCGGGCTGCGCTGCATTGTCGGGTGAAGTTCCTTCCCTATTCAGTGCTCAAGCAACGCTCAATAAATAGTAATGATCTTTTTTGCTTTGGTCGTCCCAGAGCAAAATGGTTTGCCTCACCAGTCCCCAACCTCCTGTCCTACTGGAATCACAATAAAAGAAAACTTGATGAAAGTCAACTAACGGGAGCCTTTGTTAATTTTCTATTGACTACTACAGCTGTCACTATAAAAAGATCAGGGGGATATGGCTTTTCATAAATCTGAGGAATATTCTTCTCTTTAGTGTAGTGATTGAACTTAGTTTCATCGGACCACAGAGTGACAAAGAAGAGTAACCACCGAGGTCCTAGACCAAGACCGAGAGTTTCTACAGTTTGCCGTGATATCGACATTCCACACACAAAGAGAAATTATCAAGGAAACAGAAGCTTATTCTTTGAAGCTCAATATTAAAGACAAAAAAAGGGTATCTGAGGATGAGCATGTAGGAGTCTTTATGAGATCACATGGTGCAGAGTAAGCGCGTTGGGTCCATGAAAGATGCCCATATTAGATCCACATCACAGGGCCAGTGCCAACTCAAAGAGTTGGAGTCAAAGTGGTCTGGTATTAGCCCCGAGCATCAAGCTCTCTCAGAACAAAAAACAAAACCCAGTCCACATCCATGCTCATGCATTTTTCATCAGCCCAAGATACTCAACCCTTTCAGAAATAAATATCAATTATTGAAATTGTTAATTAGACACTGCGTAATTGGCAAAGATACACATGAATAAATAACTTTGACCATTAATTATTGATTTAAAAAAAATTGAAGCCCAGTGGGGAGTGCATTTGAGAGTCTCTTAAGATCAAGCACAACAAGAAATATGAGTTTTGGCCTTGAGTAATGTCCAATTAAAGGATTGTCGGCTTTGCTGTACAAGTCCAATGATTTGCCCTCATCATCCTTTTTATATCTGTTGACAACAATACCCAGCAGACAACATAACATCAACAGAGTGCAACATGGGATCTGATCAGCTGGGGTCCGGGGGCAATGTCAGATAAGAGATGAGAGGAAACGTACAGGCTGCCAGTTCTCAGCCACAAATGGAAGCTAATCTAAGGTCATGAAGGGGCAGGGTCTTCAAATATTAATCACATTTAGAAAGTAAGCACTGTGCCTTGCATAGAAACTACAGAAAACAAGTCTATGGTCATTTATGTTTAAAGTTTATGGTTATAACCCTGCAAACTTTACATAAAAAGAACAGTGTGGCAAATAACCTGAAACTCTCCAAACAGCCTTGCTTAAATATTCAGTACAGTAACGTTGCAAAATGTACTATCCTGTTTTAGGGGCCATAAAGTTGGCACATCAGCAGAGAACAGAACTGGGGTGATGTAAATGAAAAATAAGTTGTTTCCTTGGATTCAAAGGTCAAATGTAGACCCTTTGGGAACCACTTAGATGGGGATTTGACATAGGGTTGCGGTTTATTGTAAATATATGATGATTTAAACGCAAAATACAATACTTGACTGCAAAATGATACAGAGGAATATACTTAGTAACCCAACAAAGGAAGCTTTTCGTATCACAACACTCCATGTCGTATTGTTTCGCTAAAAACTGGTGTTCACAAAAGCATCTGAGTATACCACACATGCACCGAAATAGCTACCGTTACTATAGCAAACAACTTTAATGCAATATTTTAAAATACAGTTCTATAAAACATGTGCATCGAAGAGGCTATACTCAATGTCCCTGGATTGTTCCTTCTCTACCTCAAGTCATTTAGATGATATTTTCAAGGGCTTCACATAAAAAGGACAAAAGAGTGAGATCTGAGTTTTGTCTCCCTCTTCATCTCTGAACCCTTTGGACTTGGTGATGGGATGCTGATTGAAGGGTAAGTAGTGCGATTTAGAGAATGAATTCTTTAGATGCTGGAAAAGAGAGAGAAAACGAAAGAAACAGAGAAACCAAGAACATAAGACCGTGATTCCATTATTAGTCTCAGTTCTCCCTCTTTTCATTCTGATGGGTGGATAATTAAACCTCTATAGTATTGTCTTCCATCTTCTTTGCCCCACTTCCAGCAATGCGAATTCCCCTATGGGCAACTTTTAAAAAGGCCCTTTTTAGACATCTGTTTTTCAAATCAGCACGACTTTTTTCCCCCCATTAATTTGTGTTCTTTGTGAAAGTAGAAAGACTAGTGCCAGGACAGAGATGATCATACGTGTAAAAATCCTCAACATTTCAAGTGCTAAAATCAAAGAAAGTAAGAAAAAAATATCCAAATATTCTTTTTCGACACTTTTCTTTTTAATTCTACAATACTGCTATTATACAACCCTTAAGTGTGCATTGCAAGACATCAGATGGGAGCTCAGAGGCTGGAATGTAACAAAGCTTGATTTAAAAGCAGTCGCGGTTTCCCCCTCCAGCTTGAAGGAGGCAGCTTGTCAATTACTGTTCCCGCTCTGACAGAGGCTCTGGGCGCACAATGAACACGCAGGCAAGCAGCAAAGTATGGAAAAATGAGCACAACTTGTAACAATGATCAAATAAAAAAAACATAAAATGGATGCATACAAGAATTCAAACTCATTGCTATGAAACACAACTAGGGTTTCCTTTATATCAATGTTCTTTATACAATAATTATCTTATGGAATTAACATCTAATACTAAATCATAATCTGTAAACACACCAGTAAAACTGAGATAATTCATCTTATAATAAATGCCAACATGTAGTGTTATTAGTTTCACTTATGAAATCACTTAAACCAGCACCACATCTAATCAAAATACCCGTGTATTCAGAAGCAAACAACCTGACATTACGGTAAGAGAAAGAAAAACTGATGATATACTGTATGAACAAAGAAAGCACTTACAGTGTAATCTGTATGATCCTTGTTGGTAGCACTGAAAGCAGTCAGCTAAATACAATTTGGTCTCACATTTATAGATTATGCACAATTATAGCATGAAATTGACCTCGATAAACAATATTAAATAAATTAAAGATATTTAAGATACAACAAGCCCCTCATCATAATACCCTTTTTTATTTGCTGGAGAGAATTGCTAAGTGTGCTGATCATTGACCAGATATATGATTTTGGATGCTTTATGGAAGTTGGAAAACTAAGTACCTGTAATGTATGCGTACATGTATTTTGTTTCTTTAAACATAATTAGCATTGTTTGAAGGAACCTGAGATCTAAGGTTTTTTCTTTGCAAATGATCTGTAATTAATTAATTGTGCATATGACAATAACTAAGTTGTATTTGGTACAAATTACACATAGTATTACAATATTTTTTTATACACATTTAATGAATAAAAGTAATGCCATTCAGTATCAGTTTTAAAAACACGGCCTGAGATTTCCATATTGAAAAAAATAGTAATTTCAAGCACTTCAGTATAAGTAGTGTGCATTTATGCTGTCTTTAAAACAGTTAATTCCCTTGTTTACTGTATGTGCTATTCTGAAGGTATTGTGTCGTTATATCCACATTACACCTCCTGCAGCAGCCTATGACGGTGATTTACTTCACTCGTATAATATAATCATACGCTGAGGTAGACTTTAAAACATTTGTTAACTCTCAGTAACAGTCTGAACAACGTTCTGCTTGTGCTGATGAAATGGACTATTGGTGTGGTAAGTTTCTCTCCATGCTGTGTGCTTCAAAAATGTAAAACAGTGACATCAGCCATCACCTGCAACTCATTCCCAGACAGAGCTGCTGCTGGGCAATGCAAACCATTTGGAATAATGTTAAGGCCAAGTGAGTGTTGTGAGTGTTCTGTGGTCTAGTTGCTGTCCCGCTGCCCAGCAAGAGGCTGCCCAACAGGCAGCTTTTCATGGAGGTACTTCATGGTACCCTGCTCAGAGAAGTCTGCTGCTGTGTGCCCGTCCCCTCTCAGGACCCACTTTGTGGTGAGCAGCCCCTCCAGGCCGACAGGGCCCCGGGCGTGGATACGAGCGGTGCTAATTCCAACCTCCGCTCCTAAAGACCAAAAAAGGAAAAAAGAGAGCAAGGGAGAAATGTAAAACATCATTTATGTATTGAAAGAGAGTCTGCAGTAGTTTGAGAGAGAACAAACAACAATATAAGGCTGTTGAAAAGATTTCACAGGAATACAGACAACAGATAGATGATATGGGGACATCATCACTACATAGTACATACCCAGTCCAAAGCGGTAGCCATCTGCGAAACGTGAGCTTGCGTTCCAGAAAACACAGGCGCTGTCCAGCAGCTGCAGGAACCGCTCTGCTGTGTCCTCTGAAAGAGAAAGATAGCTTGTTAGCTCACAAACTCATAACACCTTTTCAGGCATGAACATGAGGTTCGGACAACAACAACTTTTCATTGTGATTATGCCATAGAAATAGAGATTAAAATAATGAATTTATGCAATAAACAACACTACATTTAAGAGAAAACCTTAATCTGCGGTTCTGAGGATTACATACATTACAGGTATTCATTGCAATCACAAATACTAATGTTATCTTAGTACACACCCAGTGCCCTAACCTCAAATCAAGTGAGCACACAATCTACACATCCTTTATATCAGGGGGATGTAGACAACTATAGGTCCAAATGTATTTAGTTGAAATGCTAGCATTGTTTTAAAATTAAATACTCCGCAAATGTGTGTTAATAAAATCAGATCACATTTAGCTAAAACAGGTATTACCTTTGTTGAAAGAGTATCTACATATCTACCTATCTATCAAGCAAGCTACATATCTATCTACATGTGGTATATGTATAACTATTGTATCATTGGTATAAAATCTGGCTTTACTTTACCAATATTTGATTGACAGGAAATAACTAGTACAAATGCGTACATTTTAATGTATTGAAGTACCTTCTGTGGTCACCAGATGGCAGCACATCCTTCACTGCAGTTGAGTAATCCTCAATGTAGAAATGCTCACTTTTATTCTGATCACCAAAAAGAGTCAGGTGAAATATTTTGCATATTTCAACATTTGATCGAGGAATTTGCACTTCATGATGTTCCATGCATTCAAAAAGATATTTCGCAGAATGGTTCCTTGTCTTGCAGATCTAGCGTCTTACAAACGCTGCGTTTTTAATACAATTATTTAGTTCCCATCAATATTTTATGATACTCTCTAAAATTGCCTGACAAATGAAGGAGTCACAAAAAGGGCAATATGTTAGTCTTCAACACTGTCTGCATGCAATATGGCAACAGCCTTTAAAATCAGGAAATACTCTGAACCTGGCACAGAGTGGTTCAATCAACATGAGTTACAAGAATGTGGTGTGATGGCTCACTTGAAAGACAAAACTGGCCCAAAGTTATGACAGGGACGACTCTTTTAAACTGTGTTTTAGCATCTGCTCTACATTTTAAAAAGGGCTCTGTCCCCTACGTTAGAGTCACACAGGGAGGCTGTGCACTCATCCTGACAACAAAGTGTCACTGCTCATTAGTCCCTGTGGCAGGAAGTGAGATGAATGGGGAAGGTGAATCAAGGGAGTGAGAAACTTGACGAATATCAGACACCTACAGGTAGAAGCAAGGAGCAAGACAAGACTGACCTAGACTCAGTACTGCTGTTTGGCCAGGGTGAGGTATGACGTAAATAATGCAAGACTGCATCTTTTTGCCATTTTTAAAAGCAATTTGATGGATAAACACAACAAAGACAATACTAGCACAAACAGGAAGGGCCACCTACCGTTCTCTGTGATGATGACGTCTGTGTGGGAGCTGCCATACTTGTGAATATGGTCCACGGCCTCCTGCATGCTGTCCACCACCTCCATGCAGCACTCCAGGTCACCGTACTCCGCCCGCAGGGACTTTGCCTCTGATGGGCTGAATGTCAGGTAGGAAGCAAGGCGGGGGCCTGCATGAATCTTCACCTAGTGACACATTACAGAACAAAGATAAATAAGAGACAAGTAGACTTGTACTGAAGACTATATTTAGTATGATACAGGAAAATGAAATAATATTTATTCTGATTGGACTTAAGTTTAGAATCTGGTACGGCCATACTTTGAACAAGTATCTTCAATTACACCAATGACTTTTGTTTGACATTGAACTTTTAATGAGTTTTCCTTGTGGTTTTTGAGATAAAGCCATTTTCTTATATTTAGCCTTTGGGCTTAGAGGACGACTGTTTTTCTAAAATATGTATGCAGGCATGCAAGTTTATTAAGGAAATGTAAAAGCAGCCCCATGCCCATAGACAAATACAGTATGATAATAAAGACTCATTTTGCAGCTAACTGGTTTGACCGTTTAAATATTTATTCATATGCTGGCTTTGGCAAGACCAGAGTAAACTTACAAAAGAAAATGCAATTGTTTTATAAGTATTGCTAATGTTATATCGATGAATAGGAATATATTTCAAGATCAGTGTTTTACCCGTTCAGTGCGAAACATGTCAATGATCTGGTCAAACAGTGGAGTCCTGAGGATGTCCCTGTGAATCAGCAGACTCTCCATCGCATTACAGGCAGCCGGGTAGTCGCACTTGGAGTCTCGGACTGGAACGAGAAAATAACAGTCAATAACTGCTATATTCCTAGTCAGTTAATAATTGAGCAAAGTACAAGCTAACAAACACGTCTGGCCTTAATGGCCTACCAATACTACACATATTAACATTTGGTAAATGTATAAGTATTGTTAATAAAGTACAATCGTGTACACATGAACCTCCGCACACGTCAGACAAGCTTCTTATATATGCTGACCAATTTTGATGACTTTGTCAACGCTGGCTTCTGAATCGACGTACACATGGCAGATTCCCTCGCTGTGACCCAGCACCGGGATCCCCTTTGCCGCCCGCTGAATGTTTTTCACCAGCTGAGATGAACCTCGAGGGATGATCAAGTCGATCATCTTGTCCAGTCGGCAGAGATCCTCAACCTCCTCACGAGTGCTCACCTGGAAGCAAATACAAATGTGTCAATCACAGCAGCTACAGGCTGTACAGGCTTGATTGGGATGATGTATTTTCATGCAGACTTGGGTCCTCCCAGTCCATAAAATGCTGTATATAAAGTTTGTATTGCCTTGTAATACATGTATAGGAAGCATATTTTACCAGCTGTACTGCCTCTTTAACTCTGTGCATGGAAAGGGCTTCCTGGGTGAGCTGGTGGAGGACTCGGTTGCTGTTGGCAGCCTCCTTGCCTCCCTTCAGCAGGAGGGCATTGCCAGAAGCTATTGACAATGCTGACACCTACAGAAAACAATGTTTTGTAATATTACATTTTTTTTGTCCATACATTTTCAGATTATATTCATTTCTTTATCTTGTTAGCATTTGCCAATACATTACCAAATTGCCAGATCTGTGTGTGTAACGACTGCTCTGTCTGTATACCTGTGGCAGACAGTCGGGTCGGGCCTCAAAGATAACGAGAAGAACTCCAATAGGCACAGTGATCTGCTCCAGCTCCAGGTTGTGAGCCACCCTGGTTCTGCGCAGCACTCGACCCACACTGTCCTGGGCAGCCACAGCGATCTGATGCAGGCCGAGGGCCAGGCTGTTCAGTTTGGCAGAAGATAAACTCAGTCGCTTCAGCATGGCTGCTGGCAAAAGGCCTGTAGGAAAAAAAAACACACACAAAGTTACACTTTGGCATAGGGAGAAAATGGGTCGGTTGCCCTCTGGTGGAGAGGCACAGAAGGAAGTCAACTGTCCACAGAAAAAGTTAACAAAATCAGATTTTTATTTTATTCGTAACATTTGAAAACAATATACACAATGAAAGGGGTATCATGTTAATAACATACATATATGAGAACATTGTGTACATAAACCAGCCCCGAAATAATGTATGTTATGGTTAAAGACTCTTTCGTCACCTCACTACACTTATTTTGAGTGCAATTCATTTTCTAAAATAAAAAAAGACACAATGCAAAATAAACAAAGCCAAATATGAAATGGACTGACAGAATGATAATTATTGATTTTTCAAATGTCTTATAGATATCGCAATAATATTCTTATCGTGCCAGCCCTAACATTAATAGGAAAATGGGAGTCTGCTGAAAACGTATCTATAGGTACTATGAAGCTTCATCATCTGCAAACTTGACTAAATGACTTATTGTGGGCTTCTGTTACCTGTATTTACAGCCAGGTCCATGTCCATTTTATTGGCAGCCAGAATCTCTTCCTGTCTTTCAGTCAACAGCTCTGCTAGATGGCAGATGATCTCACTCCTCTGACAACAGGCAACAAAACACAGGCAGGAGGATGAGCACATCTATCCACAAGAGGTCAGTGTTTCTCTGCATCTGATAAAAGGTAAGATTAGGCCTATTCTTTTAGGTGTGTATAATATATATAGTAAGATGTTATTTAAACTATCACCCATAAACACAACTGACAAGAACACAACAATGGGCATTATTAAAGACATTGTGGCACCTTGTCTGGGTGCAGAGATGCCAGCGTTCTTCCAGAGTTACGTGCCACTTGTGTCTGATGCTCCAGAGTTGGGCCTGGTGAAGGGTCAGGGACAGACTTCAAGTTTATCAACTCTAACGCCAGGTTATAACTTTTAGTTTTTAGTTTACAACTTGTTTCATTTCATACAAATGTAATGCACATGTGATAAGTTGTTGGTAGAGAAAGCATGCAGCCCTTGTGAAATCACCTGCAGGTTTTATCTCGGAGAAGAAGGTTCCCACCTTCTTGCCCTCCACAATGTCAGTGATCACATGACCCGTTACTTTAGGGTGGGTGCCGTTGGCGATAACCACTGAGGTGCCACCTTGCAGAGCCCACAGGGCAGCCTTGACCTGCAGGAAGAAAGACACAATCTGAAAAAAGGTCTCTCTAAAAAAAAAAAGGTATCATTGATATCATATGAGGGGACTAGATTCAAATGGTACTATTAAGTGTAGTCCAGTGATTCCAAAACCAAGGGTTGGCCCCTCAAAAGTTACACAAGACAAATCTGAAAGGTTGTGAGATGATGGATGGAGAGGAAAGTAGAAAGGAGTTCACCTACACAAATCTGTTTTTCATGCTACGGAAATATAACAACATTTGCTTATGTTGGGGAATATTTTATCATTTGAACAGCTATGTAAATTAAACTGGGGAAAAGTTTAGAGGGGGAATGTGTCTTTGGTGGAACTGCCAGCATCTCAACATCTGAATGTGATATAGTGCCCAAACTACAAATATTTTTTGTTAAAAAGATCACAAGCCAGAAAGAAAAAGAGTGTGACATCACTGGCTTATAGCTTGCCCATCTGATGAATTTCCACTGAGACTTTTTACTGAGTCTTTAAAGTTGAATGAAAATAATAGAGTTTTCAACACAGTCTTTACCTTGGCCTCCATGCCTCCAATCCCAACTCTGGACTTTGTGCCATATGTGATGGTGTGCTGGTCCCCAGGGTAGAAGATATCAAGGAGCTTGGCGTCATCTGTCCCAGGGGGGCTGTCGTACAGTCCTAAGACATTTACAATTGTTACACAAACTATCAGCCCACAACTTGGTATCAAAATGCACAACAAAGCACGTACAATCCTAAAAACAAACAAACTGATTATAAATAGTTGGCTAAAATGATTCTCAGTATTTTTTTTTTGTATCTTCTCAATTGATACTGAACGGATCATCAGCCATGTCACACTCACATGCACACACACCTCGTGGCAACCCCATCAGCATCAATTTCAAACATGTAGGCAGAAGGTGTGTGTTTGTCTCTCAGTTGACCCCCTTAGGAGTGGGGGGGGGGGGGGGGTTCCCAGTGAAGAGTGCAGACAGATGGTGTTGTTACCTAACAGCTGACCCATACTGTTGTTGTGGTAACACACATACCTTCCACGTCAGACAGCGCGATGAGGAGGTCAGCCTTCATCTCCACAGCTAGCCGTGCCGCCAGACTGTCGTTGTCCTTAATGCTGATCACCTACAGAGCCAGAAAAGTGCTGAAGTAAGCTCCTGAAGACAGAAAGACATCTGCAAACGGCCTTTTCTTAAAGGTTATAGGCTGGCTGATAAACAAATACATGTATAAAGACCTTCTAAACAGTGCAAAACAGTCCTTGTGACAGAACACAACACTTTGCTAGGGAGTGCAACACTGAAAGGGAGAAATTAACTTTTTCAACAAGAGGTCCATTCATTGAGCATGGGTTCAAACCTTTTTTTGCATTATGAACTAAATACTTCAGAGAAACAGCCAAATTAAGTCCATGCAAGTTTAAATATACATGCAAGGGATAAGTTCAGTAAAAATTAAATGCAAACCTATTATAGATTTTCATAAAATAGTCTCTTTTATGTCAATAAATCCTGTTTAAAGAGAGAGAGCAAGGCAGAATTATCCCCAAGGAAAAGACGTGTTAGTGATTTCTGCAGGTAAAGGAGGGTCGTAGGGCTGCTCGATTATGGCAAAAATCATAATCTCGATTATTTGGGTCAATAATTGTAATTGCGATTATGAAATGCGATTATTCATTGACTTTGAAAACATCCATTTATTGGAGAAACATTTTTTAACAGTATGTTTTTAACAGTTGTTTACCCTGAATTTTAAGTATAATAAAAAAAAAAAATTTAAAAAAAAGTTTTATTTCGATTACGTTGTTTTCGTAATCGTTGCAAGCCATAATCGTAATCGCGATTAAAATACGATTAATTGAGCAGCCCTTGAGGGTCTACCTACAGAAGTTAGCCCCGGCCCCCCTCTGACAGCACTACCTCTCCAGTGACAGCATGCACTGCCATCCGGACCCCTCCCATCATGCTTGTGCCTTCATGGTTGAGGGCAGAGCTGCTTAGGTGAGGCCGGCTGGCAGAGGTGTTTCATCGTGTGAGGATGAAAGAAAACACTGCTGCTAATGAACAGTGACGGTCTACACTTTATCATCACCGTCTCCTACGATCACTTCGGCTCCCCTGCTGCCACCATCACCGCTGCGTACCCCCCCCCCCCCCCTCCCCATGCTGTCTGTAACCACATTTACCCCCTGCAGGTCGCTGTTGGGCTCCGGCGGGGGCACCACAGCGTCGTTGGTGTTGATGATGGGCACGATGTTCATACGCAGCAGCTCCTGCAGCGTGCTGTTCAGATTCTGCCTCTTTTGGTCATCATGGAAATCCAGATTTGTAACCAGGACCTGACAGTACAGTTAACAGAGAGCAGTGAGTGAGAGAGATCAAATATGACACTGTAATATGTTTCTTGATCATTATTTCAAGTCATTATTTTACCTGTGCAGTGCAGGTGCTGTATTGGGTGAACATGGCCTCATACAGCGCCATCAGCCCACTCTGTCCAGCAGCAGCACAGGCCCGGGCCTCCAGTACCGGCACCGACTGCCGCACAAGGCAGTAAATTGTTACATAGATTTTCTGAGTAAACAGATTAAGCCTTCAACTAGAGTTGCAAAGATGTTTTAATTAGTTGTCAAGTATTAAATAATAAAAAAATGCCAACTCAAAAAATCTGATTCTAGCCTCGTATTTGAATATTTTCTGTTGTTTTTTTGTGGACAAAACAAGACATTTAACAAAGTCACCTTGATCAATATTTTTGACAATTTTCTGACATTTAATAAAACAAACAACTGAATATATAATGAACATTCTTGTTAGTTGCAAACATGTAAAACCGTAAGGGAAATACTTTATCATTACTTGAAGCCTAAACACATTCCTCTACCTTTTCTTACCATGTCATTGAGCTGATTGTGTCCCGAGTGCAGCGCCTGCCGGACGCTCTGGGACAGCAGGATCTCATGTCTTAATCTTTGCTTGCCAAAGGCCACTGCTCCACTGGTGACAATCATCATCTCCCTGCCTTGATTCTGCAGCATGGCCACCTGCAGGCCGATTCACCCAATTAGGAAATAGACAACAGCTGGGCTCACTTGTTTTCACATTCATGCTCAAAGGAGGCAGCCTTAAAATGTTGGTTCAACAAAATGACCTACCACTTGTGATAACTAGCCTTGATATTATGTTGTATTAGTTTTAAATGTCAGACTTGTCTTATTTTACCCAAGCCAAATACCATGGGATTATACTTGCAGAAATCAAGAACAGTTACTTCAAAGCATGTGTGGTAGAGTAACATGGCCTTTTTATTCAATTACACCTAAATTCAATTGACCCATTATACTGTTGTGGTAAAATATTCCAATACCTAGGAAAATAAATCTGCATGACTTGACATAAGGAGGTTGGCAAGACACATTTTTATTTAAGTAGGAGAATTGTCTTGGAAGTTATTCAGAACTTTAAACGTATTTTTTTACTATACTGGTTTATTTGTCCTCCCACCTGCTCCACAATGGAGGCCAGCCTCCCCAGAGCCAAGCCACATTCATCCCCACGGGTGACCACAGCACTGCCCAGCTTCACCACGATCCTCTTGGCCTGGCGCAGTTCCCCGCGGTGTGCAAAGGAGCTCCCATGAGCCCTCCCCTTGGGAACTGTATAAAAGGACAAGAAGTTATTTTTACTTGACTGTTAAAAAGGAAGTGTTTTAGCTCCATTTTCAATGTGATTCATTGCAAAACGGAAGCAGGAGAAGTACGCATCAGAAGAAATAATACCTAAATAGACTAATCATTCAGGAGAGTCCGGATAGGACTGTTATTAATTAATTGGATTTAACAGTGTATTACTATAGCTTTATATTTGATTTCATCACTATACAATTCCATGACTGAGACAAACACAGTAAAGCCCTCCCCTTCATTCATCTGTAACGTGGGAAACGGATAATCACAGCCTTCAAACTGCCACATCAGCAGGGCAGGCAGAATAGCCTGTGCTGTGCTGACATTACACATCTCTCTTTACCAATGAAGCGCGAGAGAGACAGAGAGAGAGGGGGACAGAGAGATCCTGACATCTTGTTCAGACTAAAGTAGATCTGAAATCTCTCTGCAAACACAATATCCCAGTCAACGTTTGCACAGTGTGTTACATCATGTTTACAAGGAGCACTTTAAAATTCGCCACATCTGCCAACAGACACTTTTGACTATGTTGACATAACACAATGCACATTAATATTGTGTACTTTCAGAAAAACGAGAGACTGACACACACAATAATTATTCACATTATTGATTAGTCTGATTATGTGAAAGAATACATAAATAAAAATGGCCATCCCTGAGGCTCAGAAGACCTCTACAAATTGCTTGTTTTGTGAAAGCAAGTCTAAACCCCCCTTTTTTTTTCTTACAGTATATAAAACAGAAAAAAGCTTGATACATAATCAAAACTGTTTTAGTTGAATGCCTGCAACTAACGTTTTTTTTATTTGTATTGAATAATCTGTTGATTATATTTCAATACATCAACAAATTGTTGGGTCTGAATAATGTAAGAAAACTGTGAAATAATTCAATCATAGGTGACTAAACCAAAAGATAATTAATAAAAAGTGTTGTTTGCAGCACTCAGAATTCAGTTAACTTTCACATGAATTAAAGTAATGCATAAATCCCCAGACCTAATGCTAGAACTAGAACATGTTTACTATTTTTGCTTTAAAAAGTACTTATGATTAATCACATATCAGAATACTTTAATAATCTGACAATAATCCAGATTTGTTTTGCAGCGAAAGAGCATTTATATGAGCATACATAATCTACTTGTATTAAAAGATCTGGGGTTGCAAATTTGTTGTTTTACTTTTCTGTAATCCAGGATGCTGGATGACTAAAAACAGACATCAAATACAGTGTTTACATGGGATTAAGTGTGTCACAGAGTGGCTGTGCAGCATGGCTTGCCTTGTGTCAATGGTCTGGTGAGAAACCCACATACTCTTCTCCGGTAATCCAAATGGTTCCTTGAACACAGGGTCAGCCTTCGTAGCAGCATGGTCAGTGTAGTGTCTTTACTGTGACAGGTGCATACAGAGAGTGATGTAAAACATATCAGTATAAAACACATTCAACCGTGGTGGTATTAAAGAGAGTAAATAGAAGTTAGTAGTATATCTAAATTGCAACATAAAAGTGATGCATTGTATTGAAATTTACAGTCAAAACTTTATTATCCATAGGCCTACTTGTTCCCTAGATGCTAAAGTGGTGGAAAAGCGTTGGTTCTTACCTGAATTCCAGAAATCCCTGTTTGGCTTGTCCTGTTTGTGCTAACCCTGTTTAACGTCTTCTATTGAGTTTTGATCATCTTATTTAACCCGTTATTCCTGCGTTTATCACACAAATACTTGAGCAGAGGTGGGCTCTGCATGTGCACGCTCCTCCCCTGATGGAAGAGCTGCCTGCTGATGAAACGGTCACTGCTGTTTGCAAGTTAAAAAGGGCGGTGTTTCCACATTGTCGGTAAACACATTTGCAACTTGAGGACTCACAGCAAATGTTGTCAGTATTTTTCGTGTTGACATTCAAAACACATTTTCTTTTACCACCGAAAAGTCTCGTAAATTGGAGAGGTAGTGGCAGGAAATGGCGTAGGAGAGAGAGGGGTAAATTGAGCCAGTGGGTAAATTGAACCACCCCCTGTAACCAGGCAACGCCTTATAGTTGTAATCATGTGACCAGAAATTATGCAAGCTCCTCCCATTTCTCCTTGCCTGTGAAAGAGAGATCCTCATTGTGGTCTAGTAAGTAAACATTTGTACAAAAAAACGTTTTTTGCTTGTCAAAGTACATTTTCTAGATGTCAGCTGTCATGTCAAAAAAAAAGTATCCAGGTATATTGTATATGTTGATGTGTTGGCAGCGTATTAAACCATGTGAATCATTAAGCTAAAGATGACTCTGAATTTGAATGCTAGGCTATTTTTTCTAAAATGGTGGCTGTGGGGTAAAGTGAACCATGGGCCTTGGGGTAAATTGAGCCAGTTTTTCAATGGAGAAATGAATGAAAGTAGGCCAAGTTGATAATAAGAGCTCATTGTAGGCTACATTTAAAGTTGAATTTACCCTGTGTTTGATTGGTAAGATGTATGAAATTGTATCACCATTTGTGTGATTACTTTTCCTTTTAACATGTTAAAAAAAAATCAATCAATTCAATCGAAATGTATATTAAAAATATTTGAAAAACTAAGCTTGTATTTGGTTTGTTATTTATTGTTTATAGTTACCTTTAAGATTTGTTGTAGGTATGCCCAGGTTTGAACAGGTATGCCCAGGTTTGAACAGTGGTTCAATTTACCCCCTGACCTAGATCAACTTACCCTACACTGGGGCAAGTTGAGCCACAAGACTTTTTTTTTTTAAGAAGTAATATTTTCACTGCCCTTGATCAAATATTAATTCTTATCATTGCCATTGATAGGAGACATCCTGAATTATAGGTGTGTGTTTTCATTTTTACTATGTGTCATTTGTCCTTGCTTAGAGGACAGCATAACTAAAAAATGGCTCAACTTTCCCCACTCTTCCCTAATGGCCGGCCGGGAAAATGCGGGAAACGAACGGAAAAGACACTTTCAACATAAAGGCATCATCATTTATTTTTAAAAACACAGATAACTTGATATTTTTTATAGCCTATTAATTAAATAAATTATTTTTTCTTTTTATTCAAGTCCATATAACTGTCCGATAAAGAATAGAATAAGCCACAATCTAATATTTAACAGTAGAGTATGTATCCATTTGCGTTGCCATTGACCCTGTAACCCTCCATGTTTTATTTAGACTATGCCTAACATAGGCCTACAGAGCCATCACAGTTTAAACCAAATGTTTTCCGTAACGTTTTTTAATCTTCATCTGTAATTATTCTCAGTTCATCAATCTGAAACTAATTTTTTTTAAAACACTGTTTTAGGAGGAACCAGCTTTTATAACTAGTTGACATTACCTTGTGCACCTTTCATTTGCACCATGTGATGGAGAGATCACATGATCACAGTAGAGATGAAAGTTTCTTTACCTGCACTATCCTGCTGTGAATAAAAAAGTAACCCAAAGCAGACTTGACTGACACTGGGACTTCCACTGCCCCTAGGATGATAGATAACTAAATTGGCTCCTGTAGCTCTGGCTAAATGTGTATTATTCCATTATATCTGTCCTGTTCTTTTCTCTGTTGTCTGCTGCTGCCCTTTATCTGTTCTTTTGTGTTCCTCCTCCTCCTCATCGCTCTATTATCTGTCCATCTAACTTAGGGGAAGGAACTGACCCTTACCTTACTCCTGGCTTCACTAATCTAGTGTGTGTGTGTGTGTGTGTGTGTGTGTGTGTGTGTGTGTGTGTGTGTGTGTGTGTGTGTGTGTGTGTGTGTGTGTGTGTGTGTGTGTGTGTGTGTGTGTGTGTGTGTGTGTGTGTGTGTGTGTGTGTGTGTGTGTGTGTGTGTGTGTGTGTGTGTGTGTGTGTGTGTGTTTTCATCGTGCCTCTGCTAATCATCTCCATGGACCAAGTGCCATTATGTTTATTGAAGCTAATATCAGCATGACTCGTTTGTAGCAGAGCCGGTCTAAAATAGCAGCAGCAACACAACTATAAAACCCCTCTTAATACTCACCCCACACACCCAGCTGACCAGTTGGCAGTTCAGACGAGCTGTACTCTTTCCATGAGGGATTAGAATCTAACAAAGGAAAAGTTCTGAACAAGTCAAACGTCAAAGGGAAGATTTTCCAGAGGTTAACAGAAAAGTAGCAATAACAAGTGAGTAAAAGAAAGGTTTGTTGCTGTTGAACTATTCAAACATTTGGATTCCTTTATTCCTCACAATAATGTGTTTAATACTTTGTATTCACCCTAAACCATTGAAATGCAACAAAATGCACTTTGTATGATTTGACAAAAAACACGAGTATTAAATTGAGAACAAGATGATTTTTAGCCCCAAGGTAGATTTTCTTTCAGCACAAAACACTAGAAAACAAGAGAAAAACTATTTAAAAGTTGACAATCATACCAAATAAGGATGTAAGCAAATGCATGGGGTCATTTATTAATAAGCACTAACTTTGCAAAAACTAATGTTGCAACATTATACCCAGCTAAACTGAACAGTGATATGTTATTCATACATAACCTTTGAGCTAGAGTTCCATATGTTTCTGTTCTCAGTTATTTTTATATTAATTTGTGTGTCAAATAAAAGTATGGATGTCTGGATGTGAAAAGAACTTCAAATGTTGCTATATCCTTTATTTAGAAGCAATACACATGGTGCAAATTTCTGCATATACATTTAATCTGATCTCTTTTATCCAGACAGTAATCCAGAAAGGATTGGAGGTGGGTTTTGTTGGAGGCAGCAGGGATGTGCAGTGCGGCTGGTGCAGGTAGAGCGGAGCTGGAGTGCAGCGTCCTGGAAGAGGACTGGCAGAGAGGACAGAGATACATGGCTCACTGGCACAGCTTCACCATCGTGCCACAGCATCAGCAGAGGTTACTGACAATCTTCTCCACATCAACAGTTTCGCACAGTTTAACTGGCATGTTTGTGACTATAATAAACTAACATGCTGTGAAAGAAATATAGATTTTAAAAACAAAATCTCTTCCAGGCCAATCGTGATGGAGGCAGAACGCTCAGAAAAACACGGGGAGGCCAAGAGGCTCCTCCAGCGGATCCTTTCTGGTGCCATGGGGCCGAAGTTGCAACAAGCTCATGTCATGTGCAAGCAAAGGAGCAAAGAGCTCTGCTTGAGAGGCAAATGAGAGGAAGACTGTTGGAAAGATGAAAACATGTTCAATATTTTAACAAAGTATTATAGTATACTACTGTATTATTGTTTTCAGTTTGAAGAATTACTATGTATGCAATACAAGATTCTTGTTGTAGTATAATTTGTTTTGTTGGCTGAATTCTGTCATTTAAAAATAATCAACATGTTACATTTTTTGGTGATGTGAAAGGAAATTAGTTTTTACTGTTACACAGAGATTTCACTTTATAGTGACAGTAGAATTTCCTTATATTTATGTCAAGATTAGCATAAGCATAGATTGTGTTATAGCAATGTGTACAGTTGAAGAAATTACGAGATTAAAAATAAATCTTCCATGTATTTAATATGGACTCGAATGGACTTTTCTGTTAATCTCAACATTAATGAATACATTTGAGGATTTCAACAGCTAAGTACTCTTCATATATTAGTTAGACGGAAATATATCATATGCGTACGTTTTTAAATGTAGGCTGCTTCATTATTTCTATATGCAAATAGAAATTATCCCAGCTTTTATAATCAAATTCCTGTCCAAAAACATAAACACTGACTGTTTGCAGACACAGAGGTGTGGCCAAAGGGATTTTAGCATTCTTTGCATTTGCATTCCCCTGGAAAGGAAAACTCTCGACCCCCTTTACCCAGTCTGACTCTAGTTGTAATCTCCAAATATTCTAATTAAAAATAGATCCCTGTGCACAAATCCACATCCAAAATATCTCATCTCCCTTGGACATTGTAATATTTTGGTTGTCTGAGGAGGCTCAGGGTGTGTGTGTCTTTGTTTATGTGTGTGTGTGCATTCTTGATTATGGTTCAGCTGCCAGGGATGAGCAAGGTGTTAAGAGACTCCTGGGCAGAATATGTTTTATTTCTACATGGCTCCATTCCACATTGGTTCAGCTGCTGCTGCGGGATATGCTAGGAATAGACGGAAAATTAATTCAATCAGGGGATGAAGCTCACTGTTGAGTCAGCTGGCCACTGTGGCTAGTGGTTTAAAAATGCACCAAGTAATTTGAATTGAGTGATACAAAAAAATTGTCCCATTCCCTGTTACAGAAAAAAACATAATACTGAACATCTACTGTGAAGTAAGAAGATTTTCTATAAACCTAAACTTTAAATGTGTCTCCATAATATACATATGTACTTACAAAATAAATAAATGCTGACCAATTAAATACATGTTAAATCCCCAAAAAGTTCTGCAACTCTGTTTGTCAAGGTTTTCTATAACAAATATATGTTTAAGTTTGCATGTTACTCAAACATGTATTTTGTGTCCTTCCTCTAACACATTGCTACTTGTTGATGAATTTAGTGAAACCTTTTTTTATTTTGAAATATATTGACACAAAATAATAACAGCTTCCACAACAACCTCTCATTTTGAAATCATCTACTTTCGCCTGTCAACATGAGACTGTTCCTCTCCTTTGCTCCTACTATACTCACCATTCCCCATCTCTCTGCCACTCTGTAATGAACATCATCAAAGTGAAATGGCAAAAAGGATATGGAGACAGATCTGTTTGTGTCTTTCAAACAGGGTTGCCTGAGATGAAACTGGTCTATCTTTTGCACGTTAAAGGCCCTTTAGAGTGATTGTGGAGATATGGCGGGCCTCTGAAAGGTGGGTGGAAGACCTGGAAGCCATGTGAGGAGTCCATTAGTGGCTCTAGTGTTGGAGGAAGCCCCCCTGATCTGATGGTATCAGCGCCTCAGGGCGGGGAACTTGAACAAAACAAATGCTATCAGGCAGCAACACGGGCCCAAAAACAGGATCTCTATCTCTGCCCATGATACTCAGAGTAGCCCAAAGCATTGACACACATCAAATGACACAGAGAACACCCACAAACACAGAATATATAAGGAGGCTGAATGTGGTAGAGGTGCACCTAAAGGCTGATCGCTAAACGGACGTGATAGAGTCACAAAGGAAACACAAGGATGGAAGGAAAGGGAAAAGTGAATGGAGTAGCAGCCATGGCAGCCTGCTACCAGGGATTTGATCCTGCTGCGTATCTGCAGTATAACTACACTCCACCACGGGCTGATTTTGAGAGAAAGGATAGCATTGTGCCGTGGAAACTGGCATGCCTGCACAGAGCCTTCACTGAAGGTAAGGAGACAGGGTGATAAATGTAAGCTACTGGTGTATTTTAAAAGAGGTGTACTAATAAAACAATACAAATAAAATATGTTAAGTTTCACAACAATACCTTCATATAAATACATATTTTATAGGTTACCTAACACAGAGATGCTGACCTTTTTTGAGTACAAACAATTTCTTTCAACTGAAATCTAAAAACACAGTATTCTGTCAGTGAAAATGCTGATTAGGTCCTTTATTCCCAAAGATTTAATTAACTTTATATTCTGAATGTATTGTCATAAAATAACTTTTCCAGATAAAACCTGGCACATTGTCACGATTCTCATGTTATGTCACGTTTGTAGTTTTGTATGTTTGGGTGTTTGCTGTCATGTTTTCCTCCTGGGTTATTGTCTGGTCCTTTTCCCTGTGTTTTTCCGCCTGTCGTTAGTTTCCCTGGTGTGTCTAGTTGTCTGATTGTGTTCACCTGTTGTCCTTGTGTTTCTCCTCCCCTGCCCGGCTGTTTCTCGTCTCGTGATTACCCCTCCCTGTATTTAGTCTCGTCTCTTCCTGTGTTCAGTGTTGGTTCGTCTTTTGTTGGTGACTGAGTTCACCGGTGAGTGTTCTGTTTTGTCTGTGTTAGTTTCATTATCCTTGAAATAAAGGTTTATCAGAGTTATCTGCATTTGGGTCCTGCTTCCTTCACTCAACCGTGACAGACATAATTGTTGATTTGAGTGATTTCTAAATAAGAGACTGTAATCAAGTATTTTTTTAGTAAAGAAATCACGATCAGTTTACCTCTTTTAAATATCTAGGTGATGTGAAAGGTGAGCTGCTGGTGGACATAGGTTCAGGTCCCACTCTGTACCAGGTGCTGAGCGGCTGTGAGGTTTTCAACAAGGTGCTCCTCACAGACTTCCTGGAGGTCAACAGGCAGGAGCTGAGGGGCTGGCTGGAGGACGAGGGAGGCTGCAACCTGGACTGGACGCCCTACCTGCAGCACGTCTGTAAGCTGGAGGGACGACGGTACAACCAAACACCTTTTCACCCTGTTCGAAGGCTCAAGGTTTCTAGTAATATCTCTCACCAAGAAATATAGTTTTTGGACTAGTTTGATCATCAGGCAAGGACTTAAGTGTACAGTCCTTGGGAGAGAGGAAAAGTTATCTTTACAGTGAAAAATTAATAATGAGAATCAATTGATTTTTTTATAAAGATTAATAGCATTATTATTTTCTTCAATTTGTCTTTCCTTGTGCCAAAGATGAATCAGTCTGCTTCCTCAGGGTCACAAGATTTGTTTTCAATAAGCAATAATTAATCTGTGTACTGTTACAATAATACAAGTACAACGTACATCTGAGAGTGAGGAGAATATCCTTTGTGTAGGATATATCAATGGGATTTTACCTGGTTAAATAAAGGCTACAAACAAACCTGATGATGATGCTTGATGAAAGGTCAGGGGATTACCAAACAGATTATAATTCATCCTGATGGAGACATGAATGTGTGCACCAGATTCAATGGCCATCCATCAAACAATTCTATTTCACCACACGGTGGCACTGCAGAAAAAATATGTTGTCCCCTCAATGTCAGTAGGATTTCTGATTTAGGAACTATGAACATTTTGTACACAATCATGTAGATATTTAACCGGAAAAGTAAATGGTTTGAATTGTAGTTGCCTTTCGATGAAAAGTCAAGAGAAAATGGTTAGGGTTCATCCTCCAGGGACCATGAATGTCCAATGGACAAAATTACCTGTCAAATGTTCAGTTCTGCAGAATAAATTGTATTAATGATGCTACATAACTAATGCTGTATTGCACATCTGCATTTACAATAGCTGTTTGTATCTAATCATTGATATTGTCTCTAGGCCCTCAGCCTGGACGGAGAAGGCTGCTAAGCTACGTCAGGTCATTACCGACATCGTCCCAGTTGACGTGCACCGCCCTCAGCCTCTGGCCCTCGACGCCCTCCCTTCAGAAGGGGCCGACTGTCTGGTGTCCTGCTTCTGTCTGGAGAGCGTCAGCCCCGACCTGGCTGCCTTCACCCGGGCCCTGGGCCACATCGGGAGGCTCCTCCGCACCGGGGGTCATCTCCTGCTCATCGGTGCCCTGGGAGAGAGTTACTATTTTGGGGGGCCTGGGGTTAGGATCCCTGTGGTCCCACTGAACGAGGCCCAGGTCTGTGCCAGTTTGAAGGAGAGCGGCTACACCCTGATCAGGCTGGAGGTCTACACACTGCCTCAGGACATGAGGGTGGGAGTGGATGACGTGTCTGGGGTGTTTTTTGTAAAGGCAATCAAGGAGTAAGAGAAAGGAAAATGGATAAACAGTAGTAAAAGTGAGAGGAAGAATCCAGATAAAATATTATAGATTAAACCTGTAAATGTATAATTTAGCATAGCAGATTATTTAAATAAAAATGGGGATATCAGTGATGCTATTAATAATACAAACGCATCTTTTAACTTTGGTATGGGGTGAAGGAAACAAATTCAAAGACAACAACATGTGAATTAATCATTTTGATTCCTTCTATTTTATTTCATTGGTCCATAAAATGTATTTTCTGAAGGTGAATAAGCAGGAGACATTCCCTTTGGTTGCTCCCAGTTAGAAATGTAATTACACATTGCCTCCTGCAGTTCAAACACAGCAACTACAGCATTGAGAATAATATGCGTAAATCTTGTTTTAAACAAATCACCTGTTGACATAACATAGCATTTTCCATGCTGTTTATAAACTGTATATTTTGATATACTTCTATTAATGAATTGCCTGTCGTGTTTGTAATTTGTGGTGTGTGAATAAAGACTCTAAAGCAGTTCTTATTTCATGATGTTTTCTTATCTCAGACTGACAGCATTATATTAATGTAAACTCTAAGTCAGCAGCCCAATGTTTTAATCTTAATATTTGCTATGGTATCAACTTTAATTGTTAAATCATGTGATCAAAATGATCAAATTTAGAACTTCATCCCAGAATATATTTTTGAAATTATAAGAAGTTAACATGAGTTGTTTCTGATATATCAGCAATACACCAACAATGTGTTATGTTACACAGATGTTTCTAATAAAAAAGGAAAATAAATGTGTGAATAATGATAATAAACTGCTATTTCCCTCCAAAGGGAAAACGGTAACCTTGTTTAAGAATTTAGTCTAAATTGTCTCATTGACTCTATTTGGTTCCTGAAAAGCCAAAAAAGGCCTTTTGTCTTTTCTTAGAAAATAAATATTATACACTCATACAGAATCCTTTTAAACACCCATTGTAATTTATTGATTAGCAACAAAAACAAACACAATTTATTTACAAGCTCAGAATCATACTAAAGAGTTTCTGAAAAAATAGGTTTAATTTTGGTTCCCACCAATCATCCCTGACATCCCAAATGCCTCCTAATCTCTGTTACAAAAAGCCTGTTCATAACACCAAAGCAGAAAAACTGCGCTGCATTATGATGATTAGTTGGATTAGTTGGATATTATTTAGTCTGGTCTGTTGTGAGTGGCTGCGCTCAGATCCTCTGTAATCCAACCGCCTTGACCTTGCACGTAAATGTCTACAAGGTTGAGGAAAGCAAACTGAAAGAATGGTTTGGTTTTCTTTAACAATTTCTTGGTTGAATTACAAAAAAGGGTTTGCCTTTCCAATATTACTGTGCACTATATACTTATCACACTGTAGTATACCATGTCATTTAGTGTATAGTATATGTGTATTATGTTATGCAATAGCCTGAGGACCTCACATTCATTTGTTGAACTGTGTGACACATACTTTAAAATACCTCCCTCACCATGGCCATAAAACAGTTATGAACTGACTACATATTAAATACAACATTTCATGTTTGTCAAATAATCAAAATATGTTGTTTATACATCTTATCTTGGGCTGTGTACATCATTTGACTTTCTAATTGCTTTTGAGGTGAGTGTTTTTAGCACCAGAATCCCGTCGTACACCTGTATGATATGAATAAGGTTAATAAAAGTCTTGTACTTCACATATTTTCTGGGAATACAACCCCTCAAGACTTCTGTTGAACCTAAAAGAAAGAAAATGCTTGAGGAAATGGCCACAGTTCTTTGCAGTTCTCATATTTCCTGTGCAGTGTCCTTGGATGAATGGAATTTTCCCCTTGCTTTCTCTGTTGCCCAAGGCCTACATTTGCCTCAAAAGTCTCAGATTTCACTTTTCTTCATACCTGCTCATTAATATTCTGACCTTCCTCAATGCGATCTGATATACTTTCTCTCTCACAGACTCAAACAACACACACGGCCCACATGCACGTGTGTTATCCAAGTCCGCTCCAAACTAACAGTCATTCTCCTTTTTCCTCCTCTGCATCACTGCGGTGAAGGCTGAGATCAGCAGTTTCTGTCAAACTGTCCAGCTGAGCACACTGATCCCTGAGTGATTGGCTTTCTTCCCTTGGATCTGACAAGAAAGGGAATTTAAAAGTATAAGGAATGACTGACTGAGTGAAATGCCAATAATAGATATACATGGCATACTGTCCCCTACCTGTAGCTGAGGGTGACTGCTGGCTCTTCTTCTCACGTTCCTCCTCTTCCTCCCCAGAAGAGGAATCCTCTTTGTCCACTGAAGTCATGTCTAGGGAGGCCAGGTGAGCCAGGGCCATCCTCTGCACAGCTGAAAATACAAAACTGGATGTAGAATAAAAGAGCACACAGATTGTATACTGATGATGATCAGTTAAACCCTTGATTTGACAGATGATTATGGATGGAAGGATGGATGGATGAATTGATGGCTAGGTGGATGGAAGAGATTGTTCATGTTGATACTCTTTTTTGCTATTTAAATCTACCATTTTTACTGTTGCCACTAGGGGGCGACAAAACAAACTGAAAATATCATTGACATATCATCACCTTTTAAGCTAATGTGACAAACCTAACAGAAAACAGTAAATGTTTAGTTGTGTTTCTGGTCATCTGGTAAATGTAGGTCAAGATGTTTTGTTTTTACTCTATCTTGTTCTCTACCAACTTCAGAAAAAAACAATATACTTGTAAGTTGCCTTATGCACAATGTTCACCAGTTACAGTAGTTTCTAACTGTGCCTGTCTACCTTTTCGCTACCTGTTGCAGGTCGGAAATATGTAACATTTGTAGAAAGGGGATATGCAGATTCAGGTAATATTTCACAATGGTTTCATATTAAGAATTCCAATTTAGATCTGGTGTTCATGTTCACATTGACATGTTTTAAAATGCCTCATTTTCAGTAAAACCATGTAAACATTTCATTCAGCAGTAATAATGGCTAAGATCAAAGTAAAACGGAAGCTAAATCGTGACACTCAGACATTCAAACTGAATAGCAAAGCTTTTGTGTTTTATATTTGTTTTATGTGTGAGACGATGTTACAACTGTGTGCCCATCCTATAATCCAGGATGATCCAGAGCAAACTCACAGCTGTCTCTGCTCCTAATCTCACATAGCACGCACGCACGCACGCACGCACACACACACGCACACGCACACGCACACGCACACACACACACACACACACACACAGAGAACAGCTCTACCACACACACACACACACACACACACACACACACACACACACACACACACACACACACACACACACACACACACACACACACACACACACACACACACACACACACACACACACACACACACACACACACACACACACACACACACACACACACACACACACACACACACACACACACACACACACACACACACACACACACACACACACACACACACACACACACACACACACACACACACACACACACACCTCTTACTGTCTTTTTGGATACTCACATATTCCAAACAAACAGAGACCACATGACATTTGGACTAACTTGAGGTCTCCAAATTATGTATCTGTCATTTCTTATGTAAATTGAACTACATATTTGAAACACACAAATGTATTCAAAACAGTGTATTTACCTTTTAGTGAGGGTGGCTGGTAAATTGTCGTGTGAACCAGTTTGGCTTTCAAAGCTCCATTTTCACCCAGAACCCACTGTGGAAGCATCCAAATCATGGTTTACAGATTAATGGACATACAGTTTACACAATTGATGTTTTAGCGTAATCCCAGTGGAATATATCCTAAACAACCCCAGTTTTGTAGCCTCAGATAAATTCTGTAATATAGCAAAGTGATATTATGGTGAATTTTTAGCATTACAAAAAAAGGGGCAGTGAGATGACACTGCCAGTTTTTCATGTTGTCAGTGATGCTAATGGTCTTTTCAAACAGCATTTGTGCCCTACTGACATGTTGTTATGTCTTGGATTTATTTGACTGTTTACACTGCCAATCAACTTGAAAGCCTGTTTCTGACTATTTCTTTAATGACATGTTTCCTTCATGTTACCGTCTTGCTTTGTATGTACAGTATATTTGGGTCCTCAATTGTACTGCCTCACACAAACAAGTGACCGATACAAAATTGGCTGTGAGGTGAATTTACTTTTGTTGTTCACCCACTCGCTGTCATCCCACCTAATGCCTCCAATGCAAATATGCAACTTTTGCCAGAATGCTTTTCTACAACCCCCACAGAACCAACCTGAAGGAGCTGCATTCTCTTTGTGTACGTACTGTACAAAGAGCTTGATTAAAAAAACATTTTTACAGTAAAGAAGAAACTCAAAACACAAACATGTGCTAATATTGTCTTCTGCACACAGTCTATGGGTCTGGTCAGATTGCTTACTCCTCTAAAATTACTGAAATGTTTTGCAAACTGGTGAGTGACTCCAGCCCTTTTTCTTTGATCTGAACTTTTTTCTGTGATCTACCGGGTCGATGTCTTCCTCTGGTGATGGTGGATCGGTCAATCTGAAGAGTGTGGCTGGTGTTGGCCTCCGACGTCGAATCTTAGCAAGGAGAGAAAGAGAGAGTCCATCCATCATGCTGTCAGTGTGAATCTTTTCATATTTGCATGTGTGAAAACTCCTAACACAGTCATTCCCATTCAAAGGAACAAGGTGTGACTGATAGCAACAGGCTTTTATTCAGCCTTGGCTTAATAACTGATTACATTTGCGTATTATTTCGCTGCATTTTCATTTGATTTGTTGTTTCTTACAATGGATGTGTTATTTGATAATCTCGCCAAATAAAAACCTTATTTGCCTTTACTGATTATTGTTTTATGATGTTTAGCATAACTGCAGAATGTACTTTTTGTCCAACTTATCTTGTAATCATTCTGTTACTCTTCAGTAAAATTCACATGAAGCAGAGGCATAATCAAATCAAATGAACTCCACCTGTTGCAGTTATTGTTACTACTGCATCAAGATGAAAGCTGATGTTTCTTCTCAGGTCATAAACAGTAGGCAGATATTAAATATAAAATACTATTTAGCATTAATACAGATTCAATATAGAACACTACAGAAATATCCTGCAAACTCACTTTTTTTTTCCTTATAACATTTGAAGTTCCTTTTGTGGCCACATTTCTTCCTGAAAATGTCATTTTTGACTATTTTATGATTTAATTCCAAGCTACGCCCACCTTTGATTATTCATAGTAACATAATAAACAACAATAAAACACCTCTCTCTGGCTAACAATAACTAAGAGTTGTGAAGTATACAATAGATTCATCACCCTTTCTATTTGTTACGTGTTATGGTAATAAGATTGTTGTGAGATACAAGTGGCTGCCAAGCCAATCGCAGCTGAGAGTGTAGGCATGAAATGTGTGGGCAGCTTTCACTCTGGAGTAACTTACTTACTGCTCCACTCTGTGTGAGGACTCATACATATTCATCACTCAGACACCAAAACTAAATATTCTGCCCGTTGAGGGGAGACATTTCAATCTGGATTACAAGTCATCCAATTAGATGTTAAAAATGTGTCAACAGGAAAATGAAATTTACAAACATGGGCGCTTTCACACACAAAGGAAAAACGTGTGTAGTAAAAGTACCAAACCACACGTGAAGCACCTGTCTGAGAGCCTTTTCAGACACTGTGACCTTTGCTAGGGCTTTTGTTAACATGGTTGCCAGAAGGTCAAGCACCTACAGGGAACATAGTATTTTCATCAGGTTGTTTTTGTGCATGTTTGAAATGCCTTTTAATACCTATAGTGCGGTGAAGCTGTACTACATGACTCAATTTATTCATAACTGAGTTGTTTCACATTTCTCAGCTTGTGGGGATTCAATTCTGAAGTTCCGTGAGTAAAAGTGGGTTATTTTTGCACACTAGATGTATTAGTCTTCTGCTTGAATGGGCTAAAAGTGATGATATAATTATAACCTATAGCTTAATGTTTGTGAACCTATTGTAGAAATTGTAGCTGGAAATGTGCTTTGTACAACGCTTATTCCGTTTAATTTTTAAACATGAACTCAACCAGTCATCCTGTTTTTTACACACGCAAGGCATTTTAGTTTCTCGATAACAACTGGCCTCTATAAATATCAATGAATATGTCTGTCTCAAATACCTCAATGTCTAATAATCGAGTCATTTTAACATAATGACCTATAAACTGACTAAGCCTTTAAACACAGAACTTTGAAAACATCTAGTGTTTAAATTGTAAGGTGCACAATGCATGCAGATATCAATGAAGGTTTTACACAGCATCGTTGTGTTGTGACAGGCTGCATGAAAATGAAAATCTAGTAAATAAACCTCAGATGTGAAATTAGGCATATTAAGTTATTCATTTTGGTGCACCCAGTCACACAACACCAATATGAGGACAGCTGGATGACACACCACACCAACTGTGCATGTCTGTTGTGTTTATTGAATGTTCTGCTCACATTTTAAAGTTTTTGGGAACTATCCAGGAAAAATAGAAATGTATCAACATCTTCACTGTTAAAGAAACCATTAGAAAGATATTTCAAGCATCAGAGACCTTGCATTTAGTGCTTGTATTGTAAATCATTAATCCCCCACCTCATTTTGGAAGGGAGGATGACCTTCACCTAACATTCAAAATGAATGCTTTAATCTTGACGTTGTTAATGCACAATAACTGTATGTACAACGTCATCATAGTAAAACCCTATCCACTCAACAATTAAGACCATGCAGTGAAAGCATAAATCCCTTGCTGTGTTCGTACAATGCTTTCAAGTTATTCTGTAATTAATCCGGTGTAGAGCTTGATTTGATGTGCAAGAAAAGATAAATGAAAACCACTGTTGCCTTTTGACCTTTTGTTTTATGAGTGGGGAATTTCTAAAAAAAGATTAGAGTTGATTAAACAACATCACATCGGATTTTCAACCCATATCAACCAGGCGGGTTACTGGAAATACAGTTTTGTTAAGGAAATTGCTTCAATAGTTGTTGTAGGTTTGGCAGGAACATTCACAAAACACATGCTTAAACTGGACATTTCCCATAGCAAACATCTATATTTATGTGAAGTTACTTTGGTTTCCTCCATTGCAAGTGGATATTTTTTGCAGCTATTCCAAAATTATCATCTGATTACTGTATCCATTGTTAAAGATGGAAGAACATATACTGTACAAGCCACTTTGTATATAATATAAGAATAGTGTGTTTATGCAGGGTTTGTTGTTAAGATTGTGGAGTTTAGAGCTTCTAGCTGTGCTTCAGTTGAATGTATTATTAGCATTAGCTGTCCTTGCTCTTGGTTTGGCATCCACTGCTAATCTCTTTGGTTTTAATCAGTCATCTCCTTGGCTGATTATTGTTCACTCTTTCCTTTTCCTACATGCCTTCTGTCCTTTATCTTTATATTTTTCCTCTCTTGTACTTCTTGTCACTTTGTTTTATTCATACATCCCCACTTGTTCTACTTATCTCACCACATGTCAGATTTTCCATGCTACTGCTTGCCATTTCAATGCTAATTTTATGGCTGTGTTCTGGAAATGCTGCACACAAGATCTTTGCTGATCCTCACATAACACATATAGCCTTCTGTTGGCCCCTTGAAACTCACACAGGTTTTACTGTCAGTGTGCAGCAGTGTCAGCCTTTCACAAGGGCAAAAAAAGAAAAAATACCCTTGACCAAAACTCACAGGGCTGCAAAAAAAAAATTATGATGAAAAAAACAACCTTCTTGCCCCTTAAAGTGGATCTGAAGCTCATCAACTTTATATTCTTGATCCGTAGAGCTTGGGTTGATAGCAAATAAATGAAATACTATTACTGGTTTATTACAAGACAGGTGACAAGTGCATTTGTTAAAGGTCCCCTATTATCCTCTTAGACCCCACCCTTCTGCGGGTCCGAAACCACAACATCTGCTATCAACAGTGTCTGAGGGCTTCTTAAGATTTAATAAACTGTGAATGTTTCATATCCATGTATCGGGAAGAAACTCAGCTAACTGATGATTTTTTTTTTTTTTTTTGCAAAAAAAACACAAGGCTAACGCTGAGTCTCTGAATTAGCCCTGTGCGAAAAAATCTTAACGCCGTTAGCACAGAACTCTAGCTATACCGATCGATATACTTATTGGATCTGCACAAACAAGCTTAGCTAACATCCTGAGAGTCCACAGATTATAGAAATATAAGGATCATCACTGAAACTCGTGACAGGGGAAGCAAATACAGACAACACATGACGTAGCTTTAGGTAGCAAAACACGGAGATATGCTCAATTTAGCTGTTATTCTGATCAAAAGTTGTGTTCAATGGCATTAAAACGAGAAAAAACGCAGCTGAAGGTTAATCCATAAAATTAATCCAATGTGTCTGTCACTTTGAAAAAATTATTGATAATCCATAATTCAATTTTTATGCAAAAATCGGAGAATACAAATTAGCTGCTAATGGTAGCCACCAGAGTGTGTTGCAGCTCCGGTTTTGGCTACAAGTCACTCTCACTCCTTATTTGGTAACCTGTGTATGTATGTGGAACTTTCCCTCGATTCCATTGGCTATAGCAGTTAAAAAGATATGTCAATCATCAAAATCGATCAATGGGTTCCAGAGAAACGGCAAAACGCCCATTTCCACCCAAATGGCCCCAGAGGTAGAGTTTTTTTTGCTAAACCTCTCTAAAAAGGTCAAATGTCACTTGTTTTGCATCAATCTTGATACAGGGTACTTATTATATGTTGTACTTTGGATTCCTAAAGCTTTTAGTCTACTAACCCATCTTACTTATAGTTTTCACTATAAGTAAAACATATTTTTTGGACGGACACTATAATTTACAGTTTTTTGTTCAATCTGAATTTTCTTTAAAATAAAAAAAACATCTATATTGATTCTGACTTTTCTACATCCAACTCACAGGTTTATCATTACTTTGAGAAAAAAGATTATATTATATATAATTTTCCCCTTTTAGAAGTTTATGCAGTCATTTGTTCTGGAAATGTCATTTTCGAGCCTGAGACCTGAAAAACAGGCTTGGGGCCTAACAGTTATACTGTTTTTTCATCAATATATTATAGATCTCAGATATATGCAAAACATGTCTCAAGTGTTTGGCTCAAAATACCTAACAGATCATACATTGTAGCATCCCATAATCCCCTCTGTTTCAGCCCTGTTTCCAAAGTGCTGATTCTCTGTCTGTTACTTTAGATGAAAATAAGTAGCCACTCCCCACGCCATGAATCTCCTCCTAGAGCACCATTGTGTTCTTTTTATTGGCTAATGGTTACACAACCCAAAAAATCGTTATGACATCATAAAGTGGCCAACATTTGATCAGCTCATTTTCAGACAGGTTTTTATATAAATGGATCAGAACAAAAAGAGAGGGGATCTTTTTTCCTGAAACTTTCAGAATCTCTTTACACAGAGGGGACACATGTTTATGTAGAAGAGACATGAAAAAGTGGATTTTGCATAATAGGTCCCCTTTAAGTAAAAATATAAAAAATTGTTTGAGAACAGGGGAAAATAAATGCTCCTAATCAGCTTTTGAGTAAGAACCATTTCCCAAAAGCAATCACAACATGCTTACAGTTATAAAAGAGAACAGTAGTTTTATACAGATGATGTATGATGTACCTTTACAAGAGGATGCTGCTGTGTTTATTCCCATTATATCAACGCTGGAGTTTTGCAGTAATCTTATGAAGGTCCTAAAAGGTGAAATTGCCAGAGCTTCTTATAGGAAAGCTGACTCAGCTCACAAAATGCTGTCAAGGATCATTTACGGGTTGAAATGTGAAAAATTGGATAGTTGAGGACTATGGGATGAATAGGCAACAATGTAAAAGGTTCCCACATCCCAGTTACAAACAACCATAAGAAACTAATTAAATATAAAGTAGAGTTGGTTTAATACTGTTCAGAAGTAACATGCGGTTGCTGAAAAAAAGCCAATGAAAGTAGTTAAGAAAGTAGTCCAAAGCCTGAGAGACCGCAAGTTGGTCTGTAAACAACAGATGTGTGACATACAGTATATTTGAGTGCCTAATAACTGATTTATTAGTTTATTTTTGCATTCCAGCCTGCAAGAAGATTTCCAAGCAGATGCACCATGAAATCTCTAAATCTTGAGGAAGTGAGTGAATTGCAACTGGTCTCCAATATGTCCATCCAAAGAGTAGTCTTCCATTAAAACATGAATGTGTTGTCTACAAATCTTAAGAAGAAACATATAACCCTAAAGCATGCTTGGCCATCATTTGCATGGGGGAGACTAGTGATGACCTTTATGGTCTCTCAATGCCAGATGATGCTGTCTGCAACCATATAGTGCACAGGCCAACATTATTCCGTTAACACTGCACTCCCAACATAGTTTCTGACTGACTATGTCAGCATGTTTCATCTGCATTTTCTGGAATGGTGACAAATAACTTTATTGATATAGGCCTACTATACAAAAACACTCACCACCTTCTGTGACATGACTGACAATGTGACCTTCTATTTTGTTTTATTTGTTTTATTACTAAGGCACATAATCACATTTTTAACACAACTAAAGGATGCTTTATTCATCACGTATTCATCCTCCTCCTCTGATTCTTTTTAAGGGCAGAGATGCCTCATCACTTTTAAGGGCTCCAAAAACGGAACCTGCTCAGCTCAGCCTAATCCCAGTGCTGCCCACAGAGTATTACCCGTAAATCAAAATACAGAGTTCTGCAAAATCATGCTAGACTGGTTATGTAACTTTCTGTCAGTGGCAGGGCTATGAGGACGTTATTTACTTTTGTTTACTCAAGACAGGATGAAAGTTAAAGCCAGCATGTTTCAGATTAAATCCCTTATCGTATCCATTTTGCCAGAAATAGCCGTACAGACCAAAACAGATGTTTTAGGCTGCACAAAACGCAGTGGTAATCCTGACAGGTGAAGCCATTTCACCCACATTTGACCTCGTTTTTTTTCGCACACACACCACAATCCATGTTGGCACACCCGCACGCTCTCACCATCTCCACCTGTCGCGGGTCCAGCTGTGTGGGCACGGATGAAGGCACGGAGAACTGGATCTTCCTCCTCGCATCTTTATCCGCCTCTGGCTCCATCAGGTCCGTGTCTGCGGGCAGCAGCGGCTCCATCCAACCTGTCACCTCCGCAGCCAAACGCACAGATGTTCAACAAAGTCCGATTTAACTGCCGGTCTAAATTGTATCACTTCCCAAATGACAAAAGTACTACACAAGTCCAACCAGGAGTTGCTTCCTCCCTCCCTCCCTCTCTTTCACACTCACTGTCCGTTTATGTCTCTCACTCCCACCGTGTGTTGTGTTGCTGTGTGTAATGTGGAGCAGAGGAGTGAGGGTGCGTGCAGCAGAGCATGCCGAGGCTTTATGACGCTTTCAGTTGCAGTGGGAAAAAAGTGGAACAAGTGCAACATCAAAAGTGGCTCAGAAATCAATTTTCCTTGAGATGGGCTGAAAATAAGAGGTTTCTAAAAACTGCCAGGGTGCCTTCAATCAATCACAAGTTCAACCCCTTTCTTTATGAAGATATATGACACATCAGTTTCGTGAATGTATTTCAAACAAATTACTTTTTTTAATTCAAAGTAAACTGACAGCTGTGGTTGCTAAAATATCACTGTTATTTATATAGGTTTACTTCCCTGTCACTACTGTTTTCCTAAGTGTGCTATACATGAATGGTTTCCCACTGTATTTGTTTCAGTACACTATACACTTCATATTTAATGTAAATGACAATATATCTTATAATCTAACAATGATCAGCTCAGTTATACATTTAGAAATGCCTAAAAAACACCAACACCACAAAAGAGGATTATACTAAAAAAGAACCTTCTTTAAAAGGTAGCATGATTAAATGTTAAGTAATATTTTAACTTAAAAACTATCTAACAAACAAACAGTTAAAGTTCAGTGTTGGTTTTGGCTAAATGTTTTTGAATCGTGTATTCTTATTTAGCAAGAATTGAAAACAATTGGAAGAATAGACTGTATTTTTAAAGCAATATATTGCAGTAATAGCCATGGGTCTGCCATATAAAATAATCTAAATAACAACATACTTGAAATAAATGTGAACAATACCAACAACACCTACTTTATTTATTATGAAATCTTCTATTAAAAAAATATGTTTACATATTGCCAATGTAGACTCAAAAATGTATCTGATCTTTCTCCAGGGCTTTATCATCTGTACTGTAAATATGGAGCAGTCTGATGGGAAATGCATTGCCATGGCAACAGTCTCCCTTCAGTGTTGGCAGTCAGTAAGCGTAGAGTGCGTGCATGTGTGAGAGTGTGAGTACTTAAGAGAAAGTTGAGGCATATACAAATTCATATGATAATGTATAAGAAAAGAGGGAAACATTTAGTTTGGTGCATGTAGAAAGCTATATAGTGACAACAATGTATTACTCTGACAGATCAATTATTATCAGACAATAATGATGTAAACAAAAATAATTGCTTCGTAATGTGGTAAATGTAACGTGCATTTAACGATGAGACGGAATAAAGGTGAGAGAGGAGGAAAGATGTATAGAATAAAAGGCAAGAAAAAGATAATTAGTTGTCACCTTTCATGCAGATGGATTAGAGAAGGTTCACCCTGTCCTCCTGAAGTGAACTTGAGAAAAGCTCTGGATCTCTGCCAGCTCTGGAGAGTTGCTGCTTTTGTGAGTAAAACTTCCACCTTTGGAAATAAAAAATAAAAAGCCCATCTGTTGTTCAGTTTATTTTGAGTACTGTTGTTCTTGAAAAAGAAAAATGCCACAGTGTCTTCTCTCATTCCACCGCTAGGGGGCAGCAACTTACTTAGAGTGGAAGAAGTATTCCATATTTTCTGAAGCAGCCAACAAGTAGTAACACCACAGTGTACGATACTCTATCACAAGTCAAATATATTTAAAGTACCAAAAGTGCTCATTATGAAAGAAATAGGATTTTTCAGAGAGAAACTGATGAGTTTAAATAACAATATTTATATAAAACAGAAAAAGTGGGTGTAGTTTTGGAATTCTGGATCGACTTGGAGTCAAAAGATCCCCAATACGGAAGCTGTTAAAAAAACAAAACCCTGCTGAATTATCATTACAATAACCACAATAGGAGGAAAACAAAGTAAATCCTCATAAAAAGGTATGTGCCTTTTTTCCAGTGCTGTTGATTGCAATGATTTGGAGTCATTGGGTGAGGGTCACATAATAGGGAACCTAAAAGGAAGAATAACACTTATCAATAGGAATGCATAACGAATGATATCACTATCAGTCATTATTCTCCAGGCTTGCACTAACCTTTTATGACCAGTAGATGTCACCCATGCGTAATTTGAGAAAGCAAACAAACTAAATGTCTCTGTTCGTGTGCGAGCTCTTTACAATTGACTGATCATGTTTAGAGCACATTATTTCAAGGTTACATTTGAAACCAAAACCATGATACCAATTTCATGATTCAGACTGAATGTTAACCTCAACTCTTCTCAACAATTGTCTTTTTAATTCAAACGAAATAAGCCAAACAACACCTCTTATAGGTTGTTGTCAGTTATGGTTGGACAAAACATTTGAATTATGTTGGTCCCTTAGTAGGCTACTATAGATTCAGACTTAGTTTTGGAAGGAATTGCATAATGGTATTTGACATTCAACTTGAAAACCTCTAAATTATATAGAAACCATCAAAATCATATGATTATTTTATTGGGAGACAAACCCTCATTATTTAAGTTGATGTGTCCAATTTTAGCAATGACATATTGTTATATGCTTCATTTTTGTAAGTGGTGTCGTTATATTGTTTTTTACTTATTACAAAAGAAATACATGTAAAAAGACAAAAGATGAGCCTTTACGTAATCAGAATTTGTAAAATATTCTGAATGTAATGATAATTATTGTCCCTCAGATTGATAACACAGGGGCACCATGTTGGGGTGTGACCCTGTCCACAGCACTTCATCTGGACAACCATGACCAGAAATACATTGATCTAATAATATCATTCAAACGTTTTTTTTTGTTCCACTGAAAATGTGTCAGGAGCCAATAAACTGTACTCCACCACCATAGTGTTGGTTCTTTTCATTCTTATTTTCTCCCTCTCTCTTGTCCTGCCCCATCTTCTGGCCCCTCTGCGCAATCTGTGCCTCTGCCACCTTTGGCACCAGCCCGCCCACCGGCACCTGTGCCAAGCCTGGCACCCCAAACCAAGACGCTGTGATTGGCTCACTTCAATTGACTCGTTTAGACAATTGCACCCTGACTCTGATCTTTATGGCGGGTCCCATATTTATCCTTTGTGTGAAGGCAGTTTTTCTGTGTTGTAAATGTCCTGTTGTTGTTTGTTTCCTCATAACATTTCTATAGGGATCCAATTATTCCTATTGGCCTATTTGGGGTAATTCTTCTAATTGTATCATTAAAATATTCAATAATAATTTTCCCCTTAGGGCTCATGTGGATTATTTGTAGGTTTTCCTGTTCCAACCGAAATCATTATCCTCTAAGTAATCCTTTAACAACCCAATATTACTAGAATGATATCATCCTAAAATATGACCATGATTGCTGTAATTATTTCTCTAAGGGGATTGTTTTCATAAACCTTCTATATGAGATTAACCCCGTTTTTCCCAAAGATGGAGGCTAACAGAAGCTGTTTGAATCCAGTGCGTTTTTTTGTGCCATTCACTCCTTATTCCATTTTCTCTTTCAGCTCAGTGACAGATGGCGAGTCCCTCTCCCCCAGGGGAAGCCAGTCTCTGTGAATGCGGCCGCATGTCAATCACCGACTCTCATGTGATGGCTCTTGCCAATGACGTGCCAGCCATATGGGCCTGGCATCATAGCTGGTATGTAACCCACCCAGTCCTGCCTCTGAGGTGCCACACGGATCCCTCCACGCGTTAGGGCTGGGGATAGCAGCAGCAGCAGCAGCAGACAGAGAGGAGAGAGGTGTGAGAGCAGAACACAGCGCCTCTTCTGCACAAGCATCCGTGCAGGGCGTGTGGATGTGATGCCCACCCGGAGAGACATGGTGTAAACAAACCCGCTTTGCCCCGTCACTGAGCTCCACCACGGAGGTAGGTTACACGTTTTCTATCAATATAAGGCTATCATAAACGGATCAAGATTTGTTTTGTCTTTGTGCCTGCAGTGGGAATTAGAGTGGCACAGTAGGCTATTAATCAAAATAGAGGACTATTTTTCAAATCGTTCGCATCTTTTTTTCGCATGCAATGTGATCTCGTAGCTTTTAATCTTTACTCCAGGCTGTTTTTGGATGATTTTATCGAATATATTGATCTCTATGTGTTTAATTGGATATATCTGATTAAATAAATCTTTAAATATACAAAGATCCCTATAAGAGCTATGGTTCTCTGGCACATTTTATCCATAATTTGTGTCGTAATACGTTAGAAGATGGGCACTGGAGACTGTATTTTATTTACATTATCGGTAAATTGTGTTGGGGTGTGGGTGTGTGGGTGTGTGTGTGTGTGTGTGTGTGTGTGTGTGTGTGTGTGTGTGTGTGTGTGTGTGTGTGTGTGTGTGTGTGTGTGTGTGTGTTCCTGCACGACGCGCGTCAGAGCACTGTGGGGGTAGAATTCTCTATAGAGATACACAGGCTAATTGACAAGGTATTGGTTGGCATTAATTACATTGTGCTTACAAGATTAGAAAAAAAACGTCCTTGGACTCCACAAGCAGCTGAGCTCAGATTACTGGAAAAATCCTTTAAGATTTTTGAAATGTCACAGCTTTTATCAATGGTACTTTAATAAATGACGTGTCTGAATTATTCCGCGTCAACATTAAACAGTGAACAGAGGGAAACAAATCCATAGATGTAGTTTTTGAACGAATTATGATTATAAAATATCCCAATAAAACCTCCCCTTGTGACCTTTTAAAAACAGCTTTGATTAACATGGGAATTGCTTTTAAATAAAGGAAAAGAAGAGGCTAGATCAAAAACAATGCACACTCGGAGGGAATAAAGAATACAATCAATTAAAACGTTTTTTTCTGTGGCCTGCGTTTCCTGAGGGTCCACAAAAGCCTTTATGAACCTGCAAAACTACAACCATAGGTATATTTCAACAGCATACTCATTACTTTCTTCCTGAAATATCTGCGATAATATTGCACACTTTCTTTTTTATTCCAGAAATGTTCTCAAAGGGGGCTCTTATAAATTAAATTCCAAAGCGGATTGAATACAAAC